CAACCCTTCAGTATGTCCTCACAATGTCAACCCTTCAGTATGTCATCACAATGTCCAAGGCTGTCCACTATTATTCCTTTTCAGTTACAAAACTTCCCTGAGACTCTGTTCTCGGTTTAACTGTTGGTCAATTATCGATGGTAATGAAATGCACAGGACAAGAAGACATTTCTCGATTGCAGAAAATGGCCCAATAGGGATATCATCGTATATATATGACAACAAGATATTGATGTATTGATACAAATTTATGAATATTTATACTAAATCAATAATTCACTGCCACAGAAACGTTTACATTTACTTGGATTACCATGACTAAGATGAAGGGGTAGAACATTCAATCTTAAACATTTAATTGGCCATATTTAAATATTATCATTTTCTCGCTCAATTGCAGTAACTGTAATCTATTCACTAACATAATAATTAACTTTAGTATTCATCGATACGTCAATATATCATGATATTATGGGATCAAGATATCAATTTTAATCAATGACAACCCTAGTTTGAAGTAATTTCCAATACAAATGCATCTTTATAAGATCTATGGCCAACACATGTTACATGGACTAGTTCAGCATTAGTCCACTAGTCCTTATAATGATAACATATAGAAAAACCCTTAAAAAGTATAAATGTCTACTAGTCCTTATACCTTTACTACTGTGCAGTTTGACAAGGACTAAATTGGTTGGTTTGTTGTTTAAAGTCACACTCAGAAATATTACAGCTATATGACAGCGGTCTGTAAATAATCGAGTCTGGACCAGACAATCCAGTGATTAATATCATGAGCATCGGTCCATGCAATTGGGATCGATGACATGCATTAACCAAGTCAGCAAGCCTGACCACCGGATCCCGTTAGTCGCCTCTTACGGACAAGGACAATAGGACTCCTGCAAGTTTCTGAGGCTGCTAGCATCTTCTGGTGTTTACCTGTTGGTAGCTTCACCAGCATGTTTATAGTGTAACAAACTCACAACCACCTCCATCAAAACACATACAGGAGATAATAAGCAGTGATAAAAGATGTCATGTGAGATAATGAAGGGTGGGGAGAAGGACCGAGAGTTACCAGCAACAGTGCCATATTGATGGTGGGTGTGAAAATATAAACATCACTCAAGACATCTTGGTGTTTGGGCATCATGAAAGCTAATAATATCAGCAATCTATCATCTGTATGTCTGGACATATCTAATCTAAACAGAAAATATGAAATTTATCATTGAAATTAATCATTTGCTCATAAATATTGTCAAGCGAACATTCCAAATATTTGGTAGAACAAGGCTGAAACTGTTGTTGAGGCAAAAGAACTTGAGGCCAAGCAGGGGAAACACAGTACATATCCAAATGTGTATTAACAGTTTTGTATTTTAAAAGTTCAATATGTTCAAAGTGGTAGACAGATCAGAACTACAGTACAAATAGTTCACTGAAACTTAATGTAGCCTTGTCTATGATTAATGCAGGAAAGCAATTCACAAAACAGAACAGAGACCCATGACTTTCTGCTGCAGGATTAGGCCATGCATCAACATAACCAAAGCAAAATCACTAATCTTTTAGTTTCATTCTTTCTCAAAGCCCTATTCTCCACATGTCAAATCCCTTTCACCAAACCTGTCATACTACACAAAGTATCACTCAACTTCAGACTAAAGGTCAAAGCGACCCAAGTTTTCCACAAACCAACCCCAAAATGATCTAATGGTGTGACTAAGCCCTTGGACTGACATCAAACACATGACAGGTGGCCAACACAATGATGGCTGCCTCTTCAAGGTCGCCTGCAAATCAGGGTAGCAAAATGATTAATAGGTCTCGGTCTGTGTTAATTATGAGAAACTCTGACCGATATCACATACCGTATTCGACGTAATAAGCGCCCCACTCTAATAAGCATCCACCGTGATATTTGCTAATATATTGGCTAGTGAACAATCCCAATTAGCACCCCTTCTGATTGATCAGTGTACACAAGACCTATTTATTCGTGTATAATACGTTTGTTATATGCATCCTCAATTATGGGAAATTAAATTCTGGAAAAATATATCTGTGGTACATAAACATTTCAGGCTGTCAGCATAAACCACAAAATTTATGATCTTTCAAATCTGTTGTTTTTCACCAAAATAATATTCCAATAAGAGCCAACCTATTTCTAATTTTGAGAGCGCCCTGGGCGCTTGTTATGTTGAATACGGTACTCATAGTGGTATACAGAAACATGGGAGATTCTTGGATGTAGTTAATGAATGAGCAATAATGATTGACTGAATAATGAACATAAACAGATTGTGAGTGTTCAACCCCATGGTATTCATATTATTCCACATTTTGTCCGTATCAATTATATCTACTAGTGGCAGCCCCAGGTGGGGCTGGTTGATCTTGATGACCCATTTAATGAAGAGGATTGACCAGATAAAGGAATAATGACGTTGTACAATGGTTCTTTCTCTCGTTCAAAACGAATCATGTCATGTGCAACACCATGAACTCAACTTGTTGGTACTCATCGATGACCAGGTCATAATCCACTAGTCAGGTCATATTCTTTGCTGGTGCTACTATACGTATAATATTTCTCTCTACAGTACAGTCTAGGTTATCTAGTCTGAAATAGCGCTGCTGAAATTAACTGGAGTGGGCATTGTGCTTTTGTAGTGTGGGACTTATCTGCAAGCCCAAGTCCATGTTAAGGTATGGGAGTTACGATCACCTTAGTGCTACGATCGCCTTGTACAACGGCACCCTGGTTCTTATCACTTCGACTTTTTGTCCTACCTGTTTTAGACTACACTATACACTTGAGGTCCTTTTCATTAGATCATCGTCATTATTATCATCATCATAAGTGAATTTACAATAAACTAAATTCTGCACAACAGTAGAGGCTGCACTAAGTCATGGCCTACTTGCAGTGATGTTGGTGGACACAAATGGTAATCATGGTAATAGGATATCCTCGTGATCTTTACCAGCTTTTGATTAGGACATACAATGTCATTGCGAGGGCTGTTATGCTTCACTCGCATTGTCTGTGATGCCTTCATGAATTGAATTCATTTTTGTGGTCATTATAATCAATTATTTACAACTATATCTGAAAAAAAATAATTTACTTGAACTCGTCTGTTATTCATCAAAGTGAGATATGCAAGATGGAATATACAGGGGATATACAACCATGACAACTACAAGCCATGCAGTAGCATGACTTGTGTCAACAAAGACATTAGGCTATAAACAGCATTGTTGCAATGTATTCCTTGTTTAAGGGAGACGATAAACACACCTGGTGTTTTGTTACATATTAAATACATATTCTTCTGTGGTCATCACTAAACCGGTATGGGATGATCCGGGGTAGAATAGATCTTCAGCAACCCATGCTTGCCGTAAAAGGTGATGCTTGTTGTAAGAGTCGACTAACGGGATCGGGTGGTCAGGCTCACCGACTTGGTTGATGCATGTCATTGTATCCCAATTGTGTGGATCGATGCTCGTGATGTCAATCACTGGATTGTCTGGTCCAGACTTGATTATTTTACAGACAGTCGTCATATAGCTGGAATATTGCTGAGTGTGGCGTAAAACAACTAACCAACCAATCTTTACTTAACCTACTCAGTATGCACATGCTGCAACTGTAATTGTTGTTACTGTTAATCCTCCACCTACTGCAGGGGTAGAAAATAACATTTTTAGTCCACCAGTCCTATAACAAGGACTACAGGACTAGTGCCAATTTCTGACACTGTACTGTATATATTCTGTACCATGTTCATCATTCAGTCTTGTTTGACAACGGTGTAAGAATCTGTACCGAAACGTCTCTTTACAGTAATAAAGAAGTTGTTATCCATACATTGTGTCTACACTGTCATCTGTCAACTTCTAAGTAATGCCTATCAAACAATTAAAGACACTGCTATGGAAAATAAAAGACTACATTTCTATGTATAATGTTGATAAACAGATTTACAGGTGGTGATGAGTATTTGATTCAACACAGCCAGTGAACCAGTGAGTATTTCTTGGGACCGTCTCTCTAGTGAGTAAGTGAATGTGTACTGTCACACTATACAAGCTGTATGATCACAGACCCATGTATCTAGTCTGGGCCAGATGAACCATTGACTGCAATGTGTAACAATGGCACATGCCACTGGGGTACCAGCATCCTCAATCTGCCAAATCGCCATGCCCAACCACCATTTCTTCACAGTTCCAGGTATTTTCCCAAGCTTACTCCAGAATTTGCAATTCTGATGAAAGACTGGTATGGTTTAACTCATGTGTCCACTCAATTTAAGTGTCTGGGACTAAGAAATTCAACGAACGAAAGCACCAACCAAGTTAGTACCAAATGATATTTATAGCATCAAAAAGACAAAACACTCAACAATCTGAAAACACATGTTATACTCCTGATTGATTACCACAGAAAGCCAATAGCTGCCCCATTCCGTTATTGCCAGGAACAAATACCATAATTAGAGGTGCGCGATATTACTGGTATACCACGAAATGAAATACCAATGAATACACACCACAATACGTTCGGAAAATACCGGTATATTTTGTTTTTTCAAAATCAGGCATATCATATTGGTGCAAGATTTTACACTGGTGACAACTCAAACAGAAATTAAGAAATAAGCAAGTTTTTCCTGTGGCAAAAAATATTGTATATAATGCTTCATGACCATAGCAACATCCCACATAATACGAAGTTGTCAAAAACATGAGAGGAAAGTGGTTTTTTTCAGGTTCATAACAAATTACAGATGAAAGAATGCATGCAATATATTGTGGCAAGTATCGCAATACAGGAAACATTACTGCAATAAATATTCCAGGCCAATACCCACCACTAACCATAATACTAAAATACAAATTGCTCTGCATAACCAGTTGTGGCAAACATACAATGCTCTTTCAGGTAACTATCAAGAATTATTCTACGGTCAACTTACCTGTGTTGGTGCAGATCCAGGGGGTCCCTCGTACATCCTTGCCCTCTCATCCTTTTCTTCCTCCCAAGGGAACTTGTTCCTGCCCCTCCCTGCACTCATAAACCTTCTGGGGGCTGAGGTGGGCGTGTCTGGAACCGCTGGGGTAGAGCGTGCCGACCCTGTTACAGACTCCAACTCCATGTGTGGGTCTGATCTGGATGATCTTGCAGAGCCAGTGCCACTCACAGACAAGATCCATTCCATGTCTGCACCTTGGGCCATGTTAGGAGGGGTTCGATGGGTTGCCGATGATGGAATCGGAGTAGCATACTCCACAAGTCCATCAGAATTGAGCCGTGGAAGCTGTCTCCGGGCCAGACGAGCTTGTACTGCCGCCATGAGACCTTCACCTTCAGTGGTGAGTTCCACTTGATCCACAGCATGGACAAGAGGCTGTAATCTACCTGATCCCATTGCCTGGGCCAAGACTGAAAAACACTCCAGGGCTGCCTGACGCACTTGTCTCTTCCCATCAGTTAATGTTGGACCCACAACTTGACATATGGATGGAAGGTCAAAATCATAACTGGGAAAAGTCAAAAGAGCAGCAATAATCACATTGATCGTCTCTTGTCGAACACGCGAGTTTCTATGCTTCAAGTTCTCTGCGATCATTTGTAATACTGGCTTTGGGGCATAACTCTGCATCATTTTGATAGCAACTTTCATCACAGCCTGTCGAGCAACTGCTTTGTTATCACACATCCTCTTGGCTAGAGCCGAGATCAGTGGTTTTAAAAAATGCTTTACATTTTTCCTAAGCTTCTCTACAAGAAGGAAAAGAATTTCCAGTGTAACACTTGTAATTTTAAAGTTAGAATCATCAAGCAGCTGGCCAAGAAAGTTAATAAACGGTGCCATTTCTGGCATGAGAACTTCAGCAAGTTCATAATCTTCAAGACCATTTACTATAGACTTAAGTTCCTCAACTGCCTGTGCACGAGTGCGAAAATTTTCCTGATCATTAATGTGGTTCATCACATGACTAGGAATAATACCAAAATGAAGACTGTCCATATACTGAGCATGTCGTTCTTGCTGAATAGACCCATTTAGGTTACCGAAAGGCATGTTTCCTTGGTATGGAATCTCATAGTTTAATTCTGGTTCTGGATATGCTTGCACTGATCTGCGATTGCTGTGCACAGGATTAGGGCCTTGTCTGGGGGTCGGGTTTGGAGTTTCACTGAATCCATTTGCCTGCTTTCCTGACAACTTCAAGTAGTAGTTACGCAATGGGGAAGATAACTTCTGCAGGTAGTTGCTGAATTCTCTTTCTCCAACTAATGCCTCAATCTTGCCAAGGGTGAACAAAGATGAATCTTGTAGGTTATCCTCCACAGATGAATCCAGCAACTTTTTAGCCAAAGACTGGATAACATCAAAAAAGTTCTCATGCGCAAACTCTTTTGTTAAAATCACAGGCAAGGCACTTACTGTTTCCTTTCTTACTTTACTGTCGTCACTTTCCAGGCCGATGCGGACGATTCCTCGCAGAAGGGCAGGAACATCATGTGTGTATTTCATGTACACATGTAGAGTTTGAATGACAGCCCTTTTGACCGTCACCTTGGTGTCCCCAATATTGGGAATCAGCTTGTGTATGACTGGAGCCATAAAATGGTCCAGATCCTCTTTTGCATGAGGAATGACTTCGTTCAACAGCTGAATGCATTTTAGGCGAATTTCCCAACTTGAATCTGACAGCGCTTGTGCTAATCCCTTGTAGATTGACAAGGGCTCGGTGTACGGTAATCGTCCACCATTGCGTTTGACAGTGATAATCAACTGTTCAAGAATTTCCACTCGGTTCTTAGAACTATCATCATTCAACCGATCAAGTATCTCATTTTCTTCCATATTCCAATGTCCATGAGATATTGGCCCTAGTCGAGGGACATCGCTAAAGTCATTCGTGTGGACCGGGAACTTGGCAACTTGCACCTTGCTAGCCATCGACTATGTCCAGAGAGAATAAACACATAAAAATAAAGACATGCACAACACAAGAAAAGCCTACACTTCAGCATTCTCCTGCATGATGCCAACAAGATGTGTCAGTGGGCAGAAAACATCGCCGTAAGAGTTGACATTCCATTCTCATCATTGAAGTATAAACCAATATGGCTGTCCTCTTCACAACAACAAACTGTGGTCATCACGTGACCGGTTGATGGGCCCGTATGAACATGATTCCTTACGACTCATATCAACCGAATATATTTTCATAGACTTTCTCACACGCAATACGTTATTATGACGCCAATGAAAATATGTTACACATACCATGTAACATGTGGTCATTTAAGTTAAACGACTTGTTGAAGTATTTACTTAACTATATTTTTGCGTAAATCTATTATTCAACCCTGTCAACACTGACATATATAATACCAGTTGTAAAGGAAATACAATGTAAGAATTCCAGAGGCCTGTGCACGCGAGCACACGACTCAGCTCGAAATATTTTTATTCAATTAAACTTATTTATATCTTGCCTTTCGTATTGCATGACATTTCAATATTATTCAAATAAAAGTGATGGTCAACGTACGAAGGGCTATATTTGCCATTCTCAGTATCCCAATATTGAACATATCTAGGCCAAAATATGCCGTCATCGCAACGATTGGAACTATATGTATGATAATATTGATCTATTTATTATTCAATTTCTTTTCAAATCGTCATATTCTGCCATTATTCATTGAATAAATATTTCATAACCTCTAATTTGGGTACATTGCATAACTTTTGTTTCGATAAAATAACAGATTATTTCTCTGCATAAGAGTACATTCTGAAAAATATAGTTTTTTAACTTAACTGTAGATCTTTATAATTTATATTTAGCAGAGTGGATAGAATATAAAAAAGAAAACAGGCAACCTTTTTACATAAGACGAGAAAATGGGACGGATATATATATTTATGCAAAGTAATAAAAAAAAATCGATATACAATGTCGGACAAGTCCATTTTATTACAGGGGGTTACGTTTGGTATTTGCCAGATTTCTCACAATTTTCACGTCGATTATCTATACTTTTTCTCCCAATACCGATTGTCACATCTCTCCTAATACCGATTGTCACATCTCTCCCAATACCGATTGTCACATCTCTCCCAATACCGATTGTCACATCTCTCCCAATACCGATTGTCACATCTCTCCCAATACCGATTGTCACATCTCTCCCAATACCGATTGTCACATCTCTCCCACTACCGATTGTCACATCTCTCCCAATACCGATTGTCACATCTCTCCCAATACCGATTGTCACATCTCTCCCAATACCGATTGTCACATCTCTCCTAATACCGATTGTCACATCTCTCCCAATACCGATTGTCACATCTCTCCCAATACCGATTGTCACATCTCTCCCAATACCGATTGTCACATCTCTCCTAATACCGATTGTCACATCTCTCCCAATACCGATTGTCACATCTCTCCCAATACCGATTGTCAATACCGACTGTCACATCTCTCCCACTTTGGAATGGCCCTTTACGCCAAATGGAATCTGTTTCAATGGACAATATTGAGAGGTTATTATCTTGAATTGGCAATTTATATTTTATAAGGATGCCTTGGTTTGATCACAATAATCAAACTATTTTATGCTTAAAATATGTAAAGTACAGAACGTGGTAAGGATATTTCGTGATATCTCTGTTTTAGATATGTTGCCTTGGCCTGACTGTGTTTGAGCGTTATGAGTGTTTAAGAAATGTAAGTACTGCAATATGATTGCTTATATTTTAATTTCCCCCAGCTATGCGCCTCTCCGACTAAACTACTTAAATGTAGTGTTGCCTCGTTTTGCAAGTTAATATATATACATATGAACAACTGATTTCATCAGATGTATAAGTATTAAATATTTAGGTGAGGTGAGGTGAAATGGGGTTTAACGTCGCGTCCAAGATTATTGCACTTATATAGCGACGTGCATGTACTCGTGTGTGTGTGGCTGCTTGTACTAGTACTTTTATAGTGCTAGCTCACTGAGATACCATGCCGCAGTTTAACATGAATACCCCACTCAGACACAGTATACTGATTCCGAGCCGTCCAGTCCTCGTTTTAGCCCCTTAATGCCGAGCGCAAGACAGGGTAACAACAAGTACCATCTTTTAACGTCTTTTGGTATGACGCGGCCGGGGATCGAACCCCGGACCTTCCGCTCTCCGGGCGGACGCTCTACCACAAGACCACGGAGGCGGTGTATTAAATATTTAAAAAACAGAGTTTAGTATATATGCTCACCGACAAAAGATACGCGAATACATATATATGTTGATTTATTTACGAAGAATTACACATATTCAATACATATTAGATCCTGGTTTGATGAGTGAATCGACCCTCACGAAACGCATCACATGTGACGTCATAGTTCCATGACTCGAGATGCACGGGGTGTTCTCACTGTGCCGGCAGCTATTCTTTAGGGTATTTTAGCTAATCTACCCTTTAACAATAGAAGGATTAACATGGGGATTATCGTGCCGGCAAGTTCTGATCCAATCGAAAAGGAGCACTGACCACAATTTCGTACATTTATTGATTTCAGACATACAACAATTTACAACCCAACAAGATGGGAGACGGAATCGCCGTTTGATATTACAGATGGCGGTACTGCTTCTTTTTGGGTCGTTCTCTACCATCCGATTCCAATTGGCTTATCGTAACTCCCGTCATCGTTTGTTCAGATTGAATCAAGTGATAACTCGGTAAATGCTGGTTGTCATTTATTGATTCTGGAGTGCCACCCCTCCACATGGTTATAGTGGTTCTGGGGCCAAAGGTGTCGAAATGTTTCCAAGTACTCTATCCTCTACCTCGACCCACTGTTGAGTCATTTGCCATTATGAAATGAAGAAATGATGCACTTCTTTACTTACTTACTTACTTTGGAGATTTAACGTGCGCTTTCCGACTGATGCGTATCTCGCACACGGGCCCGGTCAGGCCATTTAATGTGTTTCCGAAAGGGGCGAAAGTGGTGTGTGCAACCCAAGAGGGGGGCTTTAGGGGTTGCTTATATAGAATTTGGGATTTTTTCTTGATGTTCTTACTAATTTATACATGTTTGATTAAAAGTATTCACTCAAATAAATAAATTTTTCACAATTACATATGACACTTTAATTCATATCACGAAAGTTCATCCTTGACATTTGTGAACAAATTTCGTGAACACTTTTCACCATAGCTAATTAGTACGTGGCTGCTGCCAGCAGTGCAGGAAGGCATGGCGGCTAATCCGGATTAACTTGATTAATCTTAATTAATCCGAATTATCTGCCGGCACAGTGGGAACAAACCAGATGCACCATTTGTCTCGTGCAGGATTGGCCTGTAAAGTTGGATAATCACGTGGAGCGCATCGTGATAAGAATAAAGACAATGTGGTAACACTTGACTGATTGTTAGTTTTGTCATTAATTGGTACACAGTGGAAATATATCTTCTTAACTTACATACTTCTATATATGTTTCTATGGTTTGCGTTTCTTTAGGGGTGAATGTATATCAACCGGATTGACACTCGACCAACACTGAACCGGCACCGCAGACTTCAATACGAACAGCGTAGATCATTTTGCTCACAAAGCAATTTACAAGCATTGAATGACCTATCTATACTTGACGTATTTTGAAGTTAATTACATCAAATTACCCCTTGGCAGGCATTGTTTGTGTAATACAATCATTCTGTGGCGGGTGTCATCCATGAATGAACCGGGTGCGATCGAGCGTTGTATTGGCCATTGTGCATTTGTGTATGTCGTTAGGCTTTTACTGTTAATTGGGTCGTAACGACTCGATCACATGCAGCTCTCTGTAGTCCACGGAGTACAGGTTATCAGTACAATTAATACAATGACTTCCATAAACATCGTTAAGAAACGTTGAGGTTATTCAGCGTAACAAGCGTTTAACTGTGTTTACACTCCTGGTGTATTGCATCAGCGTCGCTTCGATGTCGAGGCTCACAGCGTCATCAAGCTAAAGATGAACACACATGCAGTGACCAGGCAAGAAACACTCTTCGCATTTTTTAAATATTATGAAGAATCATTCATTTATTATTTAATGAGGAACAGCTTCAAGTCAAAAGCACTATGCCTTATTATTTGACAACTCTATTTTACAATTGTTATGCTTTGTTCTTCATCAAAAATATAACTTCTTACATTTTTGTAATACATTTCTTGATGACACTTGCATACCCATGATATGTCAGGCATTGCATGTGTTGTGAGTAGGTCAGTATGCATCTAGTAGGCTATTGGGTGGGTTGTGAGTAGTTCAGTATGCATCTAGTAGGCTATTGGATGTGTTCTGAGAAGGGCAGTAATGTATCTAGTAGGCTATTGGATGTGTTGTGGGCAGGGCAGTAATGTATCTAGTAGGCTATTGGATGTGTTGTGAGTAGGGCGGTAATGTATCTAGTGGCTATTGGATGTGTTGTGAGTAGGGCAGTAATGTATCTAGTAGGCTATTGGATGTGTTGTGAGCAGGGCAGTAATGTATCTAGTGGCTATTGGATGTGTTGTGAGCAGGGCGGTAATGTATCTAGTATAAGCTATTGGGTGTGTTGTGAGCAGGGCTTTAATGTATCTAGTGGCTATTGGATGTGTTGTGAGCAAGGCGGTAATGTATCTAGTATAAGCTATTAGGTGTGTTGTGAGCAGGGCAGTAATGTATCTAGTGGCTATTGGGTGTGTTGTGAGCAGGGCAGTATTGAATCTAGCGGCTATTGGATGAGTTGTGAGCAAGGCGGTAATGTATCTAGTATAAGCTATTAGGTGTGTTGTGAGCAGGGCAGTAATGTATCTAGTGGCTATTGGGTGTGTTGTGAGCAGGGCAGTAATGCATCTAGTATAAGGTATTGGATGTGTTGTGAGCAGGGCAGTAATGCATCTAGTATAAGGTATTGGATGTGTTTTGTGAGCAGGGCAGTAATGCATCTAGTATAAGGTATTGGATGTGTTGTGAGCAGGGCGGTAATGAATCTAGTATAAGGTATTGGATGTGTTGTGAGCAGGGCTGTAATGCATCTAGTATAAGGTATTGGATGTGTTTTGAGCAGGGCAGTAATGCATCTAGTATAAGGTATTGGATGTGTTTTGAGCA